AAAAATGAAGTTTGATGTCCCAAACAATAATGGAGAAAAAGACATGTATTGCCATGGTTCCAAGCCCTGGTCTAAGCCATTTGATTCCACTTGTTGAGTTTGCAAAGAAACTAGTTGAACAACATCACAACATCTATGTCACATTTCTCATTCCCACACTTGGTTCTACCTCTTCTTCCATGATACAAATCCTTAACAATCTTCCACCAAATATAAACTTCACCATTCTACCTCAAATCAACACACACCAACTTCCTCAAAATGTTCACTTTGTAACAAAAATGAGCCTCACAGTGAAACTTTCTCTTCCTTTTCTTCATGAAGCATTGAAGTCATTAACTTGTACTACTAATCTAGCTGCTTTGGTTTTTGGAATGTTTTCAGTAGATGCTCTTGAAGTGGCTAAACAATTCAATCTCTTATCTTATGTTTTCTATGCTACTGGAGCTATATTTCTTTCATTCAGTTTTTCTCTTCCAAAAATTGATGATAGTGTTTTCACAGAATTAACAAACACTGTGAATATTCCAGGTTGTGTTGTTCCTTACAAAGTCAAAGATCTTCCAGATCCAATACCTTATGAAAGATCTTCAAAATCAATTGTTGGTAGAACCAAAATATTATCTTTAGTTGATGGTGTCATAGTAAATAGTTTCACAGATTTAGAAGGAGATGCAATAAGAGCATTACAAGAGAAAAGATTGAATGGAAAAAATGCTCTTTGTGTTTATCCTGTAGGACCAATCATTCAATCTAAGTCAACAAATAATGAAAACCAATTTGAGTGCATTGAATGGCTTAACACACAGCCACAAAAATCTGTGTTATATGTATCTTTTGGAAGTGGTGGAACACTTTCTCAAGACCAAATCAATGAGTTAGCTTTTGGGTTAGAATTAAGTAACCAAAAGTTTTTATGGGTTATGAGAGCACCAAGCAATTCTTCTAGTTCTGCATATCTTACTAGACAGAAAGAGAATCCATTGGATTATCTACCAATAGGGTTTTTGGAAAGAACAAAAGCTCAAGGTTTAGTTATTCCATCATGGGCACCTCAAATTCAAGTCCTAAGTCATGGATCCATTGCTGCATTTTTGAGTCATTGTGGTTGGAACTCAACACTTGAAAGTGTGGTTCATGGTGTACCTATAATTGCATGGCCACTATTTGCTGAGCAAAGAATGAATGCTGTAACACTTACACAGGTTCTGAAAGTGGCTATAAGGGTAAAGGTTGATGAGGAAAGTGGGATAGTAAAAAGAGATGAAATTGGTAAAGTTATTAAGAGAATTATGGAAGGTAATGAAGGCTTTGAAATATGCAAAAGAATCAAAAATTTGAGTGATGCTGCAAGTGATGCATTATGTGAAAATGGTTCATCTTACAATGTTCTCTCTGATTTAGCACTCAAATGGCAAAACATTTGATTTGTATGTTATAGATTATTACCACTGTTATTCATCTTAGTTTCATAATAATGCATAGCAACACCAAATCAACAATTATATCTCATCTTCAAACTATGCATAACCGTACCTTTTTTAACATCATATTTCACTTTATATATTCTTACCAATGTTAAACGGAAAGGACGCGATAAGTTACCCCATCAAATACTTATACGCAAGGGGTATGTTCAGTAGGATTTTTATAGCTCTTTCATAGTCATTTCGAGTATTGCTTCTTGTAGGTTTGAATCAACATTGTAGGAGAAATACTCGAGGATAAAAATTTCTTGTTTGTTGTAACTCATTCATGTAAGTTAGTATACTTTACATATTATTCTTCTTTTCTTTTACTTAAACTGTAGGTAAAAATCTAGTTCATTTCTTAAAAAACCATTTCGTACAAAAACCATGAGAGAACCAATTCGCGATTCATTTTGGATGAGAAAATTGTGGGGGGATGTTCTTATTATCTATCACTAACTTATTATCTTCTTTGTATACACAAAATTAAAAAAATCATAAAAAGAATACTGTCTTAGACAAATTTCAGCCTTATATTCAAAAGATGCACATATGCTCTGTTATGCTGTTTGGGAATGGAAGACTTTGACAATAGTACAATACTCACTTTTTTTTATAAGTGCTATTTTAATTGGAAATAGTGTAATATTTATGTAAATATTTATATACAGTCATTATATCATTTAACATTCATTTAGATTACTTTTTTTAAAGAGTCAATGATAATTAAATATCAATTGTAAATGATGCAATAATAGTATATAAAATTCATATACTTTTATTGCATACATTTTTTTTCAACATCATCATAAATATAGACTTGAAGAAATTAGTTGATATATAGTTAAATATGTGTATAAAGAATTATTGACTCTATTACAGAGGAAACTTTTGGGATAATGACATTTTTGTTTTAGACTTAGTTTCTTTTGAATAATAAGTTTTATGAAAACCTTTACAAGAATTTCTTTTGTAAAGTTATAATGTAAAGAAGGATTATATCCACAATGGCTTTAGGTTTTGAGGTTAAGCATAATATATTACTTTGCAATGAAGTTAATTTTAAATGTTGCTATATAGTAAATTTGTCTTTTAAAAGAATTTGATTTTTTTTTCTTTATAGGATCTTGAGTTTGACTTTCTTCAATTGTTTATTATATTTTTAATAATAAACCTTAGAGTGTTGAAAGAGTAGTTGTTACAAATTTACCTTTCATTTTGGTTGTAAAAATCGGACATGGATCTATTGTCCCCAACCACGTCCTCAAGCTCATCTCACACTAATTAAAATAGAGTAAAAATAGAAAAAATCATGAATGTTTAATTTTTAATTGACAAGTCATTTTTTGATTGGTGCAAAACGGGCTTAAGGGACAACAAATCCTTGTCGGTAAAAAACCAACTAATGTTAGATGCTCAATTGTTGCATATTTGGACCTTTATAGAGGTTTTTTCTTCTTCTTTATTTATTGTGTCTTAGTTCACTTTAAGTGAAGGATGCACTTTCAGAATTTTAGCCACAGTTTCACATAATTGTGTTTTGCTTACTTGTTATATCTATAAATTCTTCAAATTATATTTCTTTATTTTTTCATCAATTCTTAACTCTTTGTTTTAATTTTATAATAAATAAATTGTAACTTTTCTTTATTCTCACCACACCCTACTTACTTATGATTTCAAATTCTCTAAAATCCTGGAAGTAAGAATGATAACGAAGCAAGTTGAGACTATGTTTGTGATTACCAATCCTGAATCTGAAATTCCGAACCCAAACCTAAATTTAAAGGTATTGAAAACAATATTACCATCTTCGACCCATCAGTTTTCAGGTAACTCGAAATCGATGGGAACTAGCCTGAAACCTTTATTACTCATGATGCTACAAACTACAGTAGGGAAGTATTCTTTCTTTACAATCACCTGAAGTTACAATTTTATAATTTTACATACGTTAATTGGGTTCATGGCGGATTTGGGTAGAATATTAACTGTTCTAAACTAAAATGGGTTTATTTTTTTTTCTCCTCCCCCTCTGCACCATTTTATGGGTCAACTGAAATTTAATTATGACCTTCATACTTGTCCTATGAATGTTGTGTACCATAAAGGATATGATGAACTCAACCACCTTTTGCAAATATCAAACATCAACATGATGGATGATTGATTAACATCACTTAGTCAAGGGTATTCCTAAATCAGAGTCAATAATCCTCACATAAAAAAGATACTTAACTAATACACAAATCAAGTTCTTATAGTCTATACTTCCATGAATGGATATCCAAAGTGCAGCAGCGACAAACCTGAGCATACACATAGTATAGACAAAAGAAAAGACAAAGAAGGGAGTAAGAACCAACTACGGCGACCGCAACGTGGAATTACATAGAGATATAACATTAAAGTGAGACACCCTATAATACAAATAAAACCAAACAATGTCAAACATATGCAAATGATGCATGAAGTTAGTGTCTTATAGAAGAGGATATTCACATCCCCAATTAATATCATGCAATGCTTATGCAATTCAACCAACCAATCTCCATCAAAATTACAATACTCGAAGGCAATTACAATACACGAAGGTCAAAATCCTAGTGGGAAAGCAACCAGGAGTACATATATCCTTAACAACGGCAAGTAACAATATCAATTGTTGTCTAGTACCTCCATTTGAGGTGCTTACGTGGTAAGCCCAGTCCGTTTCAGGATTCATCTCTACCGATCATGAAATGTGCAAAGGGGTATCAGATACCACTTAGTTTGCATGTAGGACCATCCTGGTCATACGAGTTATGAACCCGGACCCTCATTGGACTATCCCACCTAATCAATCCCTCAAGGCTTCTTGACGAATCACCATCATTGTCGCCCCTATCCAAACCCGCAATGATATTTCTATCACCATATCTTTCCATTTTCTCTAACTCTAACTACAAGAATGCAATGCATGCACACTAACAGAAGTTAGCCCATTAAATCTTTTAATCAAGGTCTTACCAATTTTTATTTCAACAAATATCACCTAAGTTAGTCATCTCAGCCTCAATGCATTTTATCATGCCAAGCCCCACTAACGAGCTCAAGACGCTAACTTAGTGATCAAAGATCATTAGGCAAAGTCTCAATCTCACTACACTTTCTAGTGTGTAAATAGCCATAGGCACTAATCAAATCCAATCTTTTCAAAAATAATACATAAGTTATATGTCTCAGCCCCAATGCATTACAATGTCATGTCCTCAGGACGATCTCAATATACTAACTTAGTGATCCAATATACGGGCAAGACCTCAATTTCAAACTTTTGTCTTTTTCATATACATACAACAATAAACAAATATATTTTTCATATCAATACAACAATCAACTTATATATTTCTCATATTAATGCAATAATAAACTTATCTATTTTCCATATCAATACAATAATCAACTTATATATTTCACATCAATACAACGACCAACTTATGTATTTATCATATCAATACAATAATCAACTTGCATCACATATCAATACAATAAGCAATAATATAACCATTACAATTGAGATATTTTCAAATTACAACTTTGTCACAATACTTTATAAACAATCATCAAATTTTATCACAAATACTCAAATGCATACAAAAAATAGAAATATTTAGTAACATTTCATGACGACGTAATACCATAAGCGAGTACCACACATTTTGTTAAACAAAAACAAGTTCACACACATATATTTCCAGCAAATTAAACATCTAAGACTATATACATCATTATGAAAAGATTAAGGACTCTTACATGGAAAACAAGTTCCCATTGGAGTTCCTAATCTACAAAACTCTCTAACTCCTGAGGGAATCAAACAAAGGCCACAATGGTCTTCTCCCTCACTTGAGTTTACATAAGTACCTTGTCCATCAAACCAAGATAATCTCCTATCGTCTCCTTCAACTTTAGAATCTTCTTCCAACCACTATCACCAAAAGCAAACAAAGGATAGAAATGCTCTACATTCTTATCTTATAGTGGCAAGTAATAGAAAAAGATTAATAATAGTGAAGGCTATATTGATGGGCGTCAAAGAATTGTGAACTATGGGGCTAGGAGTAGAATCCACAAAGATTAGGATTAGAAAGGGGAATTGTGAACTATGGAGGTTAGGATTTTGTGTAGAAGAGGAAAACTGCAAGGATAATTTTTTGGCTAAGATATACTAAATTAGGTTTCAAACACCAATAAATCATGGAAACAAAAGGTTATATATAATAAAAAGATTACACATATGTTATATAACTATATAATACTAATAAAACGTGAATTAAGGAAATAATAGACGGGAGATGTCTTGAATATTTATATATACACACATATAATTATAATAATACTACTAATAACATATATGTTCACATTGTAACATTATTTATATATTAGCTACACTTCGTGTCTGCCGACCCGCATTCTTATTTTATTATATTAACTATTCATTTTTTATATATTTTATTTTATACAATGTTTTTGTATTAAAAGTATTTTATGTTAAAAAATATATTTATTATAATACAATTTAAGGTGAGATATGTGATTAATGTGCCGATAGTAGTTACTTATGATTATATGGTTTTTTTTGTAGAAATTAAAAAATGTAAGGGCAAAACAGGAAAATTGAAATTACATCATGGTGGTAGGTATTTCATGTTTTGGTTTTATATATAGTATAGATATAATATAAATATATAGTATAGATATAGATATATATAGTATAGATATATAACATAAATAATTCAATTTAAGGTGAGATATGTGATTAATGTGCCAATGATAGTTACTTATGATTATATGGTTTTTGTTGTTGTAGAAATTAAAAAATGTGAGGGCAAAATAGGAAAATTGAAATTACACCACGATGGTAATTATTTCATGTTGTGACTTTATATATAGTATAGAAGTATAGATGATATATCTATACTAACATTAATATATATATATATATATATATATATATATATATACTTGATAAAGTGATGGTATACAATTAAAAAGAAAATGATTAAAAGATAGGGAAAAAAATCATGATATGATATGATCTTAAATATGTTATGACTTATGATAAATATTATGATAATTATAACCAATTTAATTGAAAGTCACAAGAAGTATAATGTTATAATAAGTAATATATAAAATATAACTTAGTAGATCATTATCAAAAGAATGAATACTCCTAATATACTTAATGAAATTTCTCATGTAGATGCTTCTAAGATTATGAATAATTTAGTTTTATCATTAAAGTAGTTAGAATGGATAAGATAAGCACAAAAGAATAATCACACATCATATCTAGATAATCTTAGTGAGATAATTTTGTTAAAGATTAACCCAAATAATTAGGGATTATAATATGATATATTATAAAATTAGTTTAAGATCAACATTATAATAAAGATAACGATTCAAATCAAAACAAGATAAGGTTATCAAGATAATCATTCAAAGATCTACAAGTCATCTAAAAAAAAGTCATATCTTTATTAAGATAAATCTACAAAAGTAAATCAAGATTTTTTCGTTCACATACATATTAAAAGAATGGAAAATTGCGGGCATTACAATGTGGACATAAAATAACCTATTACTTTTGGGATTTGTCATTATCTTATCATCTAAAACAAGACCTATAATTAATGTGGGCAGAAATATTCTTTACTTATACAAATAATTCTATTTCTACATGATGAATTTGTTTTTATTCCTTTTTGAAATTTATTGTATTGAAAATTATTATTACTCTATAAATAAATTTGTTTAATACTTTATCATTGTTTTATATTATTAGATAGTTGATGTGTAACTAAAGTAAGGGTCTGACCTAATGTGAGAAAAATATAAAACTATTTAGCACTTATTAAGAAGATGATCCAAAAAATACTAAACTCAAGTACCAATAAGTAATGATAACCGATCGGGAAATAAAATGTATCTTATGTTATTAATATTTGTATGAAACTTTGTTTTTGAAATTTATTATAAAAACTAATTTTTTTATATATAATCAACATTCATTTTTATTTTGCCATTATAATTTTTTAAGCCTTTGATTTTTTAAACTTTAACATACAAACCACATATTATTAAACTTAGGATTCAAATATAATTTTCACATTATAAGGAAGCTTCTCTAGATTTTTGAGCTAAAAACCAAACTTCATGATAAGATAATGAAAAATCCCAATAATAATAATAATAATTTCATAAATGTGATTATAAAAAAGTACCATTACCTCGTAGTAATAAGATATTGGTATAAGCATGCACGACCGACCCATGATAGTGTGCGGCAAGTATATAATATATGACCCATAATTAATATGAATATAAATATTTTTAATTTATACAACTAATTTTATTTCAGCATGATAAGTATGCTATTGTTTTATTCTTTTTGAATTTTATTGTGTTGTCAATTATTATTATTCTATGCATAAATTCATTGGATACTTTATTGATTTTAATGATCATTGTTTTATATTATCTAGGGGTGAGCGGGACCCGACCCTACCCTCTCACCCGGTATAACCCAATCATGACCAGACCTGAATAGGGTTGGGTTTCATCGGGTCTAGGGTCGCTTCCGAATTTAAAAATTAAAATCAGACAATAATTAGGGTCAGATAATGACCAAATATGATGTGTCGACCCATCCCATAGTCACTCATAATGTTTGTATGTATCTTTATTCAAATGTGTAGAGAGTAATGATACCATTTTGGTCGAAAATATCATCGATTCTTTAATTTTTTCATCATACATACATGTTTAATAATATATATACATATATTACTTTATATGTCAAATTACATATTTAAAATAATAAATAATATTTAGAATATTTTATCTAAAATGAGTATATATTATATTTAATCGGGTCTAGGGTCGGGTTCGAGTTTAAAGGCTGACCGTGTGAATATTTAGGTTCACGTTAACTTCATGTGTAGGGTCGAGTCCGAATTAAAAAAAATGACCCAACCAACATTTAGGATTGGGTGATAACAAGTTTTAACTCATCTCAATCTGACCTACGCTCACCCTAACATTATCACATAATTGATGTGTAACTAAAATAATGGTCTGAGAAAAATATAAGACCATTAACACTCACTAAGAAGAAAACAAAAAAATATATTAGACTCAAGTATAACTGAATTGAAAAAAAAGTGTATCTTATGTTATTATGATTTGTATAAAACCTCTTGTATTCAAAATTTATTATAATAAATTCTTTTATATACAATCAACACACGTTTTTATTTCTTCATTATATTTTTTTTCAAATCATTAATTTTATTTGAACTTTCACATACAAACTTCAAGGATTCAAATATATTTTTCACACCCAACCTATAAATTGCAAGGAGACTCCTCTTGAAGCTAAAAACCAAACTTCATGACAAGATAATGACAAATCCCAACAAAATAATAATATTAATTTCATAAACGTGAGGTTGTAATAAGAAAATGGTTATTTTTTCTAATATAGAAATTAAATATAAATACTCATTAAATCATTAATAAACTTGATATAAATTTAAACATATAAAAACAAATTGATGTAATTTAAATTCAATGAATATGATAGAAAAAGGAAATAATTAAGAGATATATACAATTAACACGTTTTTGCAAAGATTTTAACAAAAATCTGAACGAGTCGTGATGATTTGACCAATGGACTCTCTCACTCTCTTCGTCACAAAAAAAAAAAAAGAACAAAAAATAAAAATAAAATCTTTTTGTTCCTTTTTTCTTTCTGTTTCTTGAATTTCGCAAGTATTGTTGGTGCATGTTGTTTTTGAAAAGTTTTGCTTTTTCTTCATTCCCTTCAAATTCTGCTTTATGGGTAACTCTCTATTTTACTCTCTTTCCAGATTTTGGATTTTTCGATGTATTTATTTGAATTTTGTGTATATATCTTTCTTTTTATTTATTGATTTGTTGCTTTTCTTTTTGTATGTAGTGGGAACTGAAAATTTTAATTTTAAGTTTTTTTGTAATTTTGGGTTATGGGTGTTTCTCAATTCTGTGTGAAAAAGATTGAATTTTGGAGTGTACATGATTGTTGTTAATTAATCTTGAATTGTTCATTACATTGGATACCAACTAGGTTTTAAATTGCCATTGCGATCACCGTTACAGATACTCCTAAGAACCTTGACATCATGGATAATTAAAAGTGGCTGGTGGGCCATAGTTGCAGTTACGATGCCGACTCCCAAAACATTAACATATCGTCTGTATATGATGACTTGATCATATAGAATTCTAGATTATTTTATATGATGACATGATCATATAGAATTTTAGGTACTCATGTACTGATAATAAATGCAAATAAAATCTATTTACAAGGATTCAGATGTCAATGATTTGTCTAGACATAATTTAGGCATGGCTGTTTTCATTGTCGCCTAAAGGTTTTAAACTTGTGTCTGCAACCACTATAGACAACGATATACTAAGGTTTTGGGAGTCATCGAAACCACATAGTGTGCATAGTTGTCCGTTATGTCAAGGTTTTAGAAGCCTTTGAAACCGTGACCACAACCGTTATTTAAAACTTTTTATTATTCTCGCCATCATTGCTGTTGTTGTGGATCTTCGCCTAGGTACTAACGTAGGGATACAAGTGCATGGAAATAGAGTAACAATAGCAGTTGACTCTCCCTAATCTGGGTTTCTCAAATGTTTTTAAAACTCTTCATGAACACAATTAATCACCTAAGAATTTAATTTAATGGTTATTCTGTCGGTGTTTTACTTATCCATATGATATACTTGCATTTGCCTTCTTGAAGAGTTTAGTTGTACTACTAATATATTTTCTTTGGATATCATAAGAATGTTACAAATTGAATTTGAAGCAGTTTCTTCTGTGTTCATGGTTTTGGGAGCATATTAGTTTCAACTAATATCGGAATTTCATATGTATTTGATGATGACATTGTGGTAATTGCATGGTCTTTGAACAGTGACGATTTCGTGATTCGCAAAATGGGACCAGACTTAGAGCAGAAGAGCAAGTCAGAGAATAATCACTCATCTGCATTTTCAGGAGAAAAGGTTCTGGAGCCTGGAACTAACTACGTGAGTGATGCTTGTAACATGGAAACATCACCGATTAAACAAAATCCTTTGTCCAGTGTAGAGAACGATGTGGAAGT